TTTCGGGAGCGGCAAACTGTTCTCTCCACCAGACCAACTCCCTTGGCATGCTATCTCGCTATTTGACCAATTTCTACTCTTTCCAGCCGCCTCCCGAAGCCTGGTAGAGCTTACGTTTTCAACAGTACTGACATGGTGTGATTTTTACCACCATGGTACGGAGACTGCATACCCTGGTTTTGTAAACGTTGTGAACGGAAACAGTCTGTGTGTAACAAACGTTGTGAAAACACGGGGATTGTCAGTCACTTTTTTCCCGTAAGGTTGGATTCGCCTAGCCTCTATCAGGCTTCGGGAGGAGGCTGGAAAAGAGTAGAAATCGGCCATGGTAGCTGCAAACTGGTCTCTCCAGCAGACCAACTCCATTGGCATGTTATCACTCTCTATTTGGCCAATTTCTACTCTTTCCAGCCGCCTCCCGAAGCCTGGTAGAGGCAAGGACTCTCCCAGCTCGCATTCCGATGAACTGGCCAACCAAACAATCAGCCAGTCAGCCCGAAGCAAAAGGCCATAAATATCAAAGAACAGCTGTTTGCCTGTAGGACATGTCACAAATGAATGATGATCGACTGAAGCCATTGTGGTCTGGAAGAAAAGAGCAAACAAGCGAGATCTCTTTAACCACTTGTTGTGTGAAACACCTTCTAACAGGTGCTTCGAAAGTTCTTGCCTCTTCTTGTTAGTTCTGGTGACTAAAGGAACTCTACAAAGTTGGCACAGGAAAATGATGTAATAATTCGCCGGCAACTTTAAGAGTTACCGGTCTGAGGTCCAGACTGGTCTAAGGAAGCTTCCTAATTGGTCTTTCCAACTGGACATATCATATTCCAACTGACCGGTAAATGCCGGTCAGTCACCCCGTCCTGGCGTATTTCTATTCAGCTATCTTTTCATCGAGAAGAATAGAAGGCTATATATAGAGTTGAGGTAATCTTCTCAAGCAGATGTCATGTGGAAGATTGTAACGTTCTGTCGGAGAAAAACGTCCCTGTCTTCAATCTCGGCATCTGCTTGTAGATATGGCCTGGGCTTTCCTGTATTGACACAGGTTCAACCAGCAACAGACACAGGATTCCTTGTTGCAGAGATGTTTTGAAGACAAACTTAAAACCAGTATTCGTTGATATTTACGTATCGAGAATTGAAGACCTGGTGATGTGGCCCAGAAGTATATTTCAGTACGCCCAAATTTATATAAGGCCAAAATGCACTCGGGCGTGTCAAGCCAGGCCCTTAACAGGTTGGGCATCTGAATCTATCATTGTGTGTGACAGGTCCACACAGCGATTACTAACACGAGATAGCAGACATCTCCCCTTTACCCATACTGCTTTTGTCGAGTTTCAAACAGCAAAACAAGATTTTGTCAATAAAACATTTTGTAAATGTGACATGAAGTAGCAAAATTGTACTTTGAGGAATTATGGCAATGCTGCAATTTTGTAACATTCACAAGTGTCAGGACTTTTCCATAGACTGATACTGCCTGTCCATCACAATTAGCAGTTTAACCAATGACAGCGTGGCTATTAGTGGCTTGACCAATGAGAGAATGGCTGCATATGTGTTGACGAAGGTGGGCAGAGCCAAGGGACCGTCCTGTTACAAAAGATACTGACTGTTGCAATGTTTGTTTATTTGTATACAGTGAAGTTATCATCACGACTGCCATCATGTCACTGCTGCGGTACTGCACCTTGGGGGCGCTGCTGATCCACCTGGCCTACGGAGCCGGCCGTAAGTCACCTCTGACCTTGACGTCATGTAGGAATATTCCATTTAGCAAGTTTAGGGGCATTTGAAGATACGTGTTTCTGACTGCCACATCTGATACTTAATTCACAATATTTAATGTCGTAATGCTTGCGACATAATCGAAACAAAACCTGTAAGTTTAGGGAGACATTCGTATCGTGTTTTTCCTTTGTTTATCGTTTTCCAACATGTCCTGATATTTCGTCTAAAATGTGTTATTGTTCTTGTTTGCAGAGTGGGGTTACGCACCGGGCCAATACGGTGAGTAGAAGTTGTTTGCTAAGCTACGCGCGCCTCCTGGTGAGAGCTATTGGCCCTGCATCAGGCTGTCGAGAATTGACGGTCATTGTCAGAAATTTGTCACTTAGTCACGACGGCAGAGTGTTAAACCAAGAGGTCCCGAGTTCGAATCCTGCCATGCCACCGATCTTGTGCCCTTGGGAAAGGCACTTTACACGACTTTCCTAACGTAACTTAACTCGGGTGAAAATTGAGTATTGTATTGTCCTGTATTTGTCCTCTGCGTTGGTGGCGGCATAAAATACGTTGATGAAAACTTCATGTCTAGTGAATAAATCTTGGAATACGTATTGAAAACTTACATGTATAACATCTAGAGCATCAAAATAATGAACAGATGCCGTTCTTGTTGTGTTTAGGTCCCGAGAACTGGAAGACCCTGGCGCCCCAGTTCTGTAGTGGTTCGGCCCAGTCTCCCATCGACCTGGTCTACCGCACCACCGTCAAGCAGACCTACCCTGCCTTTACCTTCACTGGGTACAACGCCGTGCCTGGGAACGTCAGCTTCACCATGTCTAACAACGGACACGCAAGTAAGAACATACAACACTGCTTAGCTACTTACGCCCTCTAGCGGAAACTATTGGACCTGCACCATGTTGTAGAGAACTTGGGGAATTTTCAGAAATTTGTCCTCCAAGCTGAAGTGAAGTATCGAAAGAAGGAACTTTGTCTTCATCATCCTTCATTCCATCTTTCCTTCCATTCTTCCTTCCACCTTCCATTCCTTCCATCCTCGGCCTCCCATCCTTTTATTGGAATTTCTAGAATTCATTAATTCATTTATTTATAATTCATTTATTCACCATTCATACATTTAGCTGGTTCGTTTGTTCATTCGCCTGAATCTGTTTTCTTCTCTCCTCCAGTTGGAGTAGCCTTTGACGACAACAACGCTCACCGTGTCGGCGGCGGCGGCCTGCCCGGGAACAACTACAAGCTGGCGCAGTTCCACTTCCACTGGAGCTTCCTGGACAACCTGGCCGCCGGGTCCGAGCACGTCCTCAACGGGCAGATCTACCCTGCTGAGGTGGGTACAACATGCCTCCGCCCCTTAGGCGTCGCCAAAAAGTGTAGTGCTACATGTAGTATAAAGCTTTACGTTTCAGGGCCCTATCCATCCAGTTCTATGGGTTAGGTACAGATCTACCCTGCTGAGGTGGGCAGAATTACACAGGAACATGCCTCCGCCCCTGAGGCGTAGCCAAAAAGCCAAGTACTAGTACTACATGTAGTATCGTTTCAGGGCCCTATCCACCCAGGTCTATGACTATGGGTTAGGGACAGATATACCCCGCTGAGGTGGGTACAGTCACTCAGAAACATGCCTCCGCCCCTGAGGCGTCGCCAAAAAGCGGAGCGCTAGTATAAAGCTGTTTCCAGAATCGTGCCCTATCCAGTTCTATGCCTTAATGGGTTAGGGCCAGATCTACCCTGCTGAGGTGGGCACAGTCACGCAGAAATATGCCTCCGCCCCTGAGGTGTCGCCAAAAAAGTGAAGTACTATGTTTAATCCGAAAAGTAATGTATCCAGAACCGTGTCCTATCCAGTTCTATACTTAAATGGTTAGGGACAGATCTACTCTGCTGTGGTGGGTACAACATGCCTCCGGCCCAGAGGCGTTGCCAAAAAGCGGAGTGCTAGTATAAAGCTGTGTGTTTCAGTGGAGGGAAACGTACTGTATCCAGAACCGTGCCCTATCCAGCTCTATGCCTTATTGGGATAGGGATAGGCTAAGGCACGGTGGGCAGTCACTCAAGAACATGCCTCGTCGCCAAAAGGCCGAGTATAGATCTGCACGTTACAGTAAAAACGTACTGTATTCAGAACCATGCCCTATCCATTTCTATGCCTTAATGGCTTAGGAATAGGCTAAGGCACGCTTCTAGATAGTCTCTCTATAGTATCTAGTAACCACACTTCATAAGTTTCAATCCAGTAACATATCAAGTATGCCAATCCAGAATCCTTAGGGCTTAAAGTTTTAAGCCAAAAGCATTCTTTCAAAACAACTTGAGAACATAAAATGTGTTTCAAAGCGAATAAAAAAGGTACTCAAGCAACTGGATATGATTTTGTCTAACAGTGTTTTCTCCCTGTTCCCCTTAGCTGCATCTTGTCCACTGGAACGCTGACCAGCACACGGACCTGGGCGATGCCGCTGTGGGGAACCGCACAAACCACGCCTCGCTCGCCGTGCTAGGGTTCTTCATAGAGGTGAGGCAGAATCACAACTAGAAAGCAAAGCCAATCTATGCCAAAACGCAGTTACTCAAGCAACTGGATAAATTTTTTTCAAAATCATATCCAGTTGCTTGTCGAATGAGTAACTGCTTTTTGGTGCATCGTATTACCTGGATGTCTAACTTTCATCCAAGCCAATCTATGCATTATATTTACCTTCACAAGGTGTATTCTTACAACTACTGGTCTGTTTATCTTCACGCAAACACATTCATATCTCCTCCAATAGTTGTAAAAGTTTAATCTCCAAGCAGATCCCTTTCGGTGGCAAGACAGTATCCGTTAGCCAGAGGAGTTTGCACTGCCACTTCTGTGGCTAATGGACACTCCTCTGGCCCATGGATACTGTCTTGCCACCGTATGATTGGAGATAAGTAAAAAATCAATCTGGTAGTTTTCTTGTCAGAATGCCCACCACCATTACATGTAGAAATTTGTGTAACGTTAATTGTTTCTAATTTTTTCTGTAGCTGTGCAACACGGACAACCCCGCCTTTGAACCGATGTTGAAGTATATCGCTAACGTCAGCCAGAGCGGTGAGTGATAATCCATAGTGTTCAGCAGTGGTTTTCAATGGAGGAAGAATCCGGCCTTTTTGATCGTTAGAATTTAGTGTTTAGTAGTTAGAATAGTCACATACTACATTCTTATCCATCCTGTTGTCCATCCTTTATATCTCCATGTTACATGTACTTGCACTTGACCTACAGGCAAGAGCTTGTAATAAACCTTCCATATAAAGTGACTTAACAATCTATACATCAAGAAAACTACTCTACTCACATCTGAATTACCCACAAATTACAGAAAGTGGGATCTTATGTCTTCCTCTGTCTTCAAAAATGAAGTCAATCCCAGTAGTTTTTAGAAGTTCACAGTAGTTCTGTGTTCTAATTACCTGCTCTTATACCAAATGTTTCTTCTGTAGTTGAAATTAGCCCTCGGGTATGAATTTGCAATAAAATAAATTATGAATCTCTCTACAGGCACGACGTTTAAGTACCCTATGGGAGACCGGTTCAGTCTGGACAGCCTCCTGCCGACCGACAGGACCAAGTTCTTCCGCTACAACGGCAGTCTCACCACGCCTACCTGTAACGAGGTGGTCACCTGGACCGTCTTCAAGGAAACCATCTCCATCTCAAGGAACCAGGTAAGAAGAAACATCACATTATCATCACGGCCGGAAGTTCACCTGTGCTGGTAGTAATCATAGTACGGTGGTAAACTTTATTCCAACACACTTTTCTGTCAATCAACTGTCAAGCAACCTAATACAATACTTCTGATAAAATTAAAAAACTTTTTCAGTGCTTACTTGCTTAAGCCGGGTACCGACGATGTCGCCCTTCTCGCTCCCTGTTTTAGTATGTACGAGAACACCGTAGAAGGATAGCCTCTAGCCAGTACTCTCAACAACGTCCTTAGCATGTTATCTGTCTATTTGGCCAATTTCTACTCCAACCGCTTCCGAAGCATTGTTGAAGAATACAGCATTGTTCTCTTAGAAAAGCTTTTCTAGTCAGTTCTAGTAGCTGCGCTCTACATAACGCATCATTGCGCCTCTGAAGCCTGAAGCCCGGTAGAGGCTATCAGACGGGTAGAAGACCTCTACCTGTGAGTCATCTCTAAATGGTCTTTGGTGTTTTCCCCCACAGTTGACCAAGTTCATCAACAGCGTGTACTATGAGGCCCAACCCAACACAGTCGCCACCAAGATGCAGGGCAACTACCGCCCTCCGCAGGCCCTTAACGGTCGCACGGTCTACCGGTCGTTCGATGACGCAACCCTTAACGTCACCCCCAGGCCGGCTCCGAAGAGCCCCGACAACGCCGCCGTGCGGTTCGTGCCGGAACTGCTGTTCCTCGTTCTGACAGCTGTGTTCGCCGCCATCTTTAACTGATTCTAAAAGATTCTAAAAAAAAAAATTTCCATCTTCGAGCAGATATTGAAAAGCAAGATGCTAACGTTATCCAACCTCATTCTCTTTTCTGCGGCCATTTCCAAGTGATTCCAAAAGCATCTAAAAAAACGGCGCACAAATTTTTTACATCTTTGAGCAGATATTGGGAAGGAAGATCCTAACGTTATCCAACCTCATTCTCTTTAATGCGGCCATTTTCAAGTGATTCCAAAAGCATCTAAAAAAACGGCGCACAATTTTTTTACGAGCAGATGTTGGGAAGCAAGATCCTAGCATTATCCAACTTCATTTTCTTTTTCTCTATTTGCCGCCAAGTGATTTAAAAAAGATTCTTAAAAAAAACGGCGCGGAAATTTTCCCATCTTCAAGCAGATATTGGAAAGGAAGTTCCTATCGTGATCCAACCTCATTATCTTTCTCTGAACTTTAAAAAAAATGAAAAAAAGAAAGAAAAAATGAAAAAAAAGAAAAAAAAAAACAACAATTTAGTGTAACGATACGACTTTACCTTTCAATATCTGCTTGAAGATTACGATTTCTT